AGAAAAATGACAGCAGAGTTATCATTTTCTGATGTCCCTGAAAGAGTAAAATAAAAAAAATAGCTAAAAGATAAAAATAACTACCCAAATTGCATGCTGCAGTGCAATTACAGGGGCTTTGATGGTAGTATGCATGTGAACAAAATGTGCACAGTCTACTTTCATATTAATTAAAAGTAACTGGTAACTGCAGTTAATGATTTTAAAACATAAAGTGATTACATGTAATTAATCAGCTTCTGAAGCCCTTTGTAACTGCATTCAGCAGCCTAGCAAATGTATGCTTAGGTACGTACCTAGATGATTAGCCAGCTGTCATAGTCCAAAGCAGATTTGTGTCTTTTAGTTAGGTGACGCCACTTTTTATCACCATAAAAGAAACAGGTGCAGATGGTAGTGCCAGCCTTGCAAGTGAGGCATCCTGCTCTGTGTAGTCCCCTAGGGCAGGGCAAAGTGGCCTTCCCACCTCCTTAGGCTGCCACAGGGCCAGAAAATGCCATGTGGCAGGGGCAGGAGGAGTTAGAAGTCAGAGCAGAGGAGTGAGAGATGAGCGCGCTTGAGGGTCCCTGGCTTTTCTCACCTTCACTCCCAGCCAGTTATCCTTTAAGGATCTAGTTGCAGAAAGCAGTGGTCTGCAGAGAGTTACAGCTGTGGCAGGAACAACCAGCAAATGTGTTGGGACAGGGAGGAGTGGGCAGGAAAGATCTTCCCACCTTCCCCCCAGCAGCAAAAGCCCTCCTGAGACTTCCTGCCCTCGCACAGCAGGCCAGGCAGAGGGGACACATGCCTCCCACTCTCTCAGCCCACCCAGCTGGCAGAATCACCTCCCCCCAGCCTAGACAAAGAGGATGGAGCTGCTTCACCCTTCCTCATCCCACCATGCAGCTCCAAGCCTAGAGGGATGGGGCTCTACTCACCCCAGTGTCACTCAGCCAGACTGAAGGGTTACCCATGAAATAAGCATCTGGCCTCCAGCTGACAACACTCAGAAGTGTTCATATGTTTACAAAAATGTTGGCCTACAACAGTGCTTAAAACGAGAACATAAAGTGCAAAGGTTGCCTCTGCTAAGTGCAATAGATTCAGTTGCTCATGAATGCTTGAAGGGGTATTCTCATGAAATAGTCATACATCCTGATATGTAAATACAGGCAGCTCAAAGCAATCCCTGAGAGCTTCTTTCAACCTCCTCAGTACCTTACATTTTGGATAAAACATGTGGTGTGTATTTCTGCCAACAAGCTGAAAAACTGGTTTAGTTGTGCTGCCTGACAGATGTAGGGCTCTCCTTGAAGTCCTGGCAGTTTAAGGGATGTGCTGAGGCCTGCAGTGTATGACTTACACAAGTGAACTTTTAAGGGCTTGCTTCCTCACTGAAGTTGGTAGGAGTCTGACATCTAATTCCTGAGAAAATATTGGTGAAACTTGTAGGTGACTAATAATTCATTCCTTTGTTCATCTGTCACTGAAATCATTGGTGCCGCACGGTTATCAGTTCCCAGGGATTTCAGCGGCAGATGGACTGAGCTTCGCTTAACTGTAGACACCCTGAAGTTAGCTGTCTAGTTTAAACCGGTCAGTTCAGTCTCGCTGTGGTCAACAAGGGAAAGACCATCTCCACAGGGCAAGTGTAAATCGTGTCTAAGACTTGTCCTTCAGACAGCGTTTTCGGGTAGGAATCCAAAAGAGACAGGAGGCTTGCTAGTGTCTCTCTACACAGTTAGCTTAGATTAAACACATAGACTTCAGATAGCTGAAGCTGGAGGACACTAACCCCAGCCTGAACAAGAGGATTCTCTGCCACACAATCCACATGCTTTCGTATTTTCTATGCATTTATTTGCTCATACTAGGCAGCAGTGAGCTCTGTGAGATGAGCTTATGACTCTGACGGCATTGCTTATGGAACAAGGCAGCAGTCACCATGAATAAGCATCAGATCAGCCCTGGGCAACAAGGGGCTTCTTGAGAATTTTGTTACAAAAGGAGGCTGGATGACTCAGAGGTTGTGTATACAATTACAGAAAGGACGGATGGCTCAAAGTATAATCATCAGATATTGATCCTCCCACCAGCATAAGTTATTGCCAACTGCAGACACATCTAAAATTCACATCTGGTATCTGTTCAGGTTCCGCAGTAGATACTTACAGAAAACACCACAAGTGGCAATAAAAGCTAACGGAATGGGGAGTGGCAGTGGTGGGAAAATGAATTGCTGTCTCACCCGCTGGAGCAGAGGTGGTGTTTCTGGCAAGGCTGTGGGGAGTGGGGCTGCATCCCTGCTGTCAGGGCAGCAGGTCCAAGGCTGAAGAACTGCAGTCATAAGAGTTTTCAGCCTGCTGCTTGGCATTAGCACAGGATACACATTTAAAGGAAAGCTTGCAAAATGAGTTTGCAGGAAACATCCAAACCATTCCAGCAGCTGGCAGCTGTTTACACAAGCCTTGAGACCCTCCAGGCCTTCCTCGGGTTGTTTCTCCAGCACCTCCTCCCTCCAGCCCTCCTGCTGAGAGCAGGCTCTCACTTGTCTTGTTCCTCCCCTGTCCGCAGGCGTTAGCGGTGGCCGGCCTGAGTCCCCTGCTCCAGAGAAGCCATTCCCCCACCACGTTCTCTCGGCTGGGTGCGACGCCCCCCGCTCCACCCCGC